GGCGTTACCATGGCAACGGGGGGGGGAGGCTGTGCCCGGAATGATCGATGGGAATTTTCCGCTGGAATGGGGGAAAATGGGAAAGGGGGGAGGGGAAATGGGGATTTTTTGGGGTAGAAAATTGGGATTTTGGGGATTTTTTTTGGGTTAAAAATGGGATTTTTGTGGAGATATAGGGCTGAAAATGGGATTTTTGGGGGAAGAAAATTGGGATTTTTTGGGGTTAAAAATTGGGATTTTGGGGGGAAAAATTGGGATTTTTGGGAATTTTTTTGGATTAAAGATGGGATTTTTTGCGGTTAAAATGGGATTTTTGGGGGTAAAAATGGGATTTTTGGGGGGAAAATTGGGATTTTTTGGGGTTAAAAATGGGATTTTTTTGGGGGGTGAAAATTGGGATTTTTTGGGGTTTAAAATGGGATTTTTTGGGGTTAAAATGGGATTTTTTGGGGTTGAAAATCAGGATTTTTGGGAATTGTTTTGGATAAAAATTGGGATTTTTGGGGGGTAAAATGGGATTTTTTGGGGTTGAAAATTGGGATTTTTGGGAATTTTTTTAGATAAAAAATGGGATTTTTGGGGGGTTGAAAATTGGAATTTTTGGGAGTTGTTTTGGATAAAAAATGGGATTTTTTGGGGTTTTGGGGTTGAAAATGGGATTTTGGGGTTGAAAATTGGGATTTTTTGGGGTTGATAGTTGGGATTTTTGGGAATTGTTTTGGATAAAAAATGGGATTTTTTGGGGTTTTGGGGTTGAAAATGGGATTTTGGGGTTGAAAATTGGGATTTTTTGGGGTTGATAGTTTTAGGATTTTTGGGACCATTTTGGGGGATATTTTGGGGTAATTTTGGGGTAATTTTTAAGATTTCTGGGGCATTTTTTAAAGATTTGGGGCCATTTTGGGGGGGATTTTTGGGGCTATTTTGGGGATTTTTGGGGCATAATTTGGGGGATATTTTGGGATCATTTTTAGGATTTTTGGGGCCATTTTTTGATTTTTGGGGTAATTTTTGACCCATTTTTGAGGCCATTTTTGGAGGTTTTAAGACCATTTTGGGGTGGTTTTTGGGGCCATTTTGAGGTGGATTTTTTTGGGAATTTTGGGAATTTTGTCCCGGAACTGGGAGTTACTGGTTGAACTGGGATTGTCCCCGATTGTCCCCTCAGTGTGACCTTGACCAGACCTGCTGCCATCTTGGATTGATGGGTCCAACCTTGGATTTTTGGTGTTTTTTGGCCATTTTGGGGTGGATTTTTTTGGGAATTCTTGGGAATTTTGTCCCGGAACTGGGAGTTACTGGTTGAACTGGGATTGTCCCCGATTGTCCCCTCAGTGTCACCTCGATCAGGCCACCAAGTCCCACCTGGCGCCATCTTGGATTTTTGGGGTTTTGGGGTCAATTTTTGGGTTTTTGGGGCCATTTTGGGGTGGATTTTTTTGGGAATTTTTGGGAATTTTGTCCCGGAACTGGGAGTTACTGGTTGGACTGGGATTGTCCCCGATTGTCCCCTCAGTGTGACCTTGACCAGACCTGCTGCCATCTTGGATTGATGGGTCCAACCTTGGATTTTTGGTGTTTTTTGGCTCCCAAATCCCCCCAAAATCCCCAAAAAATCCCCAAAAAATCCCTCAAAAAATCCCCAAAAAATCCCTCAAAAAATCCCCAAAAACTCCAATCCCCCAAAAATAAAAAAATCCAAAAAAATCCCCAAAAAACTCCCCAAAATTTCCAAAAATCCCCCCAAAATTCCCAAAAAATCCAAAAAAATATCCCCAAACCCCTAATCCAAATCCCTCAAAAATCCCCAAAAATCTCCCAAAAAACCCAAAAATCCCCCCCAAAATCCCAAAAAACTCCAAATCCCAAACCCCCCAAAATCCCCAAAAAATCGCCAAAAAATCTCCCAAAAATCCCAAAAAAATCCCAAAAAACCCAAATCCCAAACCCCCAAAATTGCCAAAAAATCTGCACAAAATCCCAAAAAACCCCCCAAAAATCCCAAAAAAATCCCCCAAAATCTCCAAAAAATCCCCCCCAAAAACCCCTAACCCCCCCCAAAAAATCCCTAAAAATCCCCCAAAAAATCCTCCCAAATCCCCAAAATTCCCAAAAAATCCCCCAAAAAACCCAAAATCCCAGAACAATCCCAACAAAACCCCCAAAAATCCTAAAAAAAAACTCCCAAAAACCCCAAAAAATCCAAAACCGCCAAAACAACGCCCCCCCAAATCCCTAAAAATCCCCAAAAATCCCCAAAAAAAATCCCAGAAAAATCCCCACAAAATCCCAAAAAGTCTCCCAAAAATCCCCAAAAAATCCCCCAAAAATCCCCTGAATGATCAACCAAAGATCCCCAAAAAAATAAAAAAAATCCCAAAAAAATCCCAAAAATCTCCCAAGAAACCCCAGAAAATTCCCCAAAAATCCCCCCAAACCCCCCAAAAATCCCCAAAAACCCCAAAAAATCCCCAAAAATCGCCAAAAAATAAAAAAACCATAAAAATCTCCCAAAAAAATCCCTAAAACTCCCCCAAAAATCCCCAAAAAATCCCCCAAAAATCCCCGAAAATCCAAAAAAAATCCTCCAAAAACCCCAAAACCCCCAAAGTCCTAAAGCAATCCCCACAAAATCCCCAAAAAATCCCCAAAATCTCCCAAAAATCCCCACAAAATCCCCCCAAAATCCTGAAAAATCTCCCAAAAATCTCCCAACATCCAAAAAAAATCCCCATAAAATCCCCAAAAAATCCCCCAAAACCCCCAAAAAATCCCACAAAAATCTTCCAAAAAACCCCCAAATCCCCAAAAAATCTCAAAGACCCCAAATTCCAAACCCCCAAAATTGCAAAAAAATCCGCACAAAATTCCCCAAAATCCCCCAAAAATCTCCCTAAACCCCAAAATCCCAAAAAAATCCCCAAAATCCCCAAAAAATCCCCCAAAAATCTCCCTAAACCTCCCAAAACCCCAAAAATCTCCCAAAAGCCCCCAAAATCCCCAAAAAATCCCCAAAAAATCCCCAAAAATGTCCAAAAAATCGTGAAAAAATCCCCAAAAAATCCCCAAAAAACCCCAAAAAATCCCCAAAACCCAAAAAAAACCCCCAAAATTCTGGGGTAATCTCTCCGCAGCTGTCGTACGGCTCCAGCTCGCCGGCGCTGTCGAACCGGCAGCGCTTCCCGACGTTCTTCCGCACGCACCCGTCGGCCACGCTGCACAACCCCACGCGCGTCCAGCTCTTCAAGAAGTGGGGCTGGACCAAGATCGCCACCATCCAGCAGACCGAGGAGGTCTTCACCTCGGTAGGAACCCCAAAAATCCATCATCGGGGTCCGACTGACGCCCCGAAACCGTCCCGGGGTCCGAGAAGGTCCTGGAATTCCCAAAAATCCCAATTCTGCTTTGGTGGCCCCAAAATCTTCCTTGGTGGCCCCAAAATCCTCCTTTGGTTCCTCCTTGGTGGCCCCAAAATTCTTCTTGGTGGCCCCCAGAATTCACCCTGGTAGGAACCCCAAAAATCCATCTTTGGGGTCCGACTGACGCCCCGGAACCGTCCCGGGGTCCGAGAAGGTCCTGGAATTCCCAAAAATCCCAATTCTGCTTTGGTGGCCCCAAAATCCTCCTTTGGTTCCTCCTTGGTGGCCCCAAAATCCTCCTTTGGTTCCTCCTTGGTGGCCCCAAAATTCTTCTTGGTGGCCCCCAAAATCCACCTTGGTAGGAACCCCAAAAATCCATCTTTGGGGTCCGACTGATGCCCCAAAACCGTCCCGGGGTCCGAGACCATCGTGGAATTCCCAAAAATCCCAATTCTGCTTTGGTGGCCCCAAAATC